TGTTCCTTTCTTGACATTAAAATCGACTGGCCCAAATTCCAAATTCAGGCGACTTACGTATAGCTATTGTGTTAGTGAAGAGATGGCAATTTAAGTTACGATGAAGGGTTAAGATGTTTTCTGTGTATCAATTCCCTCAAAATTTCACCTCTCCCCTTTCAATCAAAAATACAAAGGGCGATGATCAGCGCCGGTGGATCCCCTACCAACGCACCTCCCCTCCCCCCTCCCGACAGTGAGCTCGGAGGACGATGGTGAGCTCGCAGCACCGCCCCCTGGGCATTTGCAGCAGATGCCAGCAAGCTCGAAAGAACCCCGCCGCCGGTCGGGGTCGCGGCGCGGTCATGAGGGCTCGCAGCGTGCGTCTCCCCCTCGTTGTAGGGCCGGCGCTCGATTCCCTTCACCCGGCGGGCCTGGTTGGGCACAACCCCGGACAGGCGCGAGGCGCGTAGGAGATACAAAGAAGCAAACAGACCCTAACTAAGCAAGCAAGAAAGCACTAGCTATACATGCCAAAAGGAGGAGCCTAAGAAAACTCACCGATTCGAGAGGCTGGAGCTGGATCGCATCGGCCGCCGGCTGCTGCTGCTGCTGCTGCTCCTTCTCCTCCGGCGGTGGCGGCAGGGCGACCGGCATTGAGTCCCCGTCCATGAGATAAAGCTAGGGTTCCTGGGTGGGGAGGGAAGAAATGAGGGATTTGGGGTTTCGTCTGGGGTGCAGGAATCAATCAACTCGAGGCTCGAGCGATGGGCGCCGCGGGGAGGCTTTTATATGCCGGGGTGTGGTCTCCTCGCTTCCTCACGCGGTCAAGCGGGGTAGGGTCCAGTCAGCGCTCCATGCTCGTCGTTTGGGCTCGGGGTCGAGCCGGAGCATATCACCAGAGTGATTAATGCTACACGAGCTGGCCTTCCGTTCCTTCGGTCTTTCATTTATTACTACCTACAAAAAACAAGAGTGGAGTACACTAGTGGTAGTAGTACAGTGCAGTTGTTGTACAGGTCCACTTTGCTGGAGGACAATGCAGGTTGATGCTTAATCTGCGCCGACAGGCAGCTAGCAATATCTATTGGGATCCATGGTGTCAGTCGGGTCTAGATGCTTGCATGCTCCATTGCTCCTCATGTTTAAAATGTTATAATGACTTTTCTCTTGTGTCAATATGTACGAAAAATAAATCAAGCAAACGTCCTTACCTGATTTTGGATAAAGATAGAAGGAAGAATGTTGCGAAGGTGGCCGGATTCTTTTTATGTTCTTGGTTTGTGTTCGAGCCCCTTCCTATATTTTGCATGGGACTGCGAAATAACAAAAAGGTAAAAAGTGACCGAGATGTGAGGGAAAAAATATTTGTTTCACGTTTCCGGAAAGACCATCTATTTGTCCGTTTGTCAGGTTCAGCACGAAATCATAAAGCTCGACTAAGGATAATCGTTAAACAAATATCCTCAAATGTATGTTGCCTAAATATATTTGTTTGCTGACGGATTAGATTGTCTTGACGTGTTGAAACATTTTTCTTGTGCTTCATGAAATATCCTCCGCCGTCTAGCATAATTTTACGAGGACCACTATTTTAGCGGAGTGAAAGCTTCGACTTGTATATATCACGAGAACTACAATAGCCAAGAAGTTTCAGGCCTCAAGGTAACAGGGTGCTTTGTGTGTCCGCCCGTTACAATCTAGGAAAGAGATAAAAAGTAAGGAAGAGATATACATGGAGCCAATTAAGAATGATGTGATAACAACGCGTGAAAATGAATGCGCGGTATTGAAGGGGTAACGCCATTTGACGAGAGAGATATAATTGAAAATAATTATTAGATCTGGTCCTCATGCCTTCATAAACTTTCATGAGAAATTCCTCGTCTTTGTTTAATAAAACCCAGAAGGTATATGTTTTTCAAACAATATGTTCCCACATGTTAGGTTTCAAAAAAGATGTTCCCGTATGCATGCACGTGAGAAGATGGTGAGTAGTAGTGAAGAAAGGGTAAAATGTAGTTTTTTTTTACTCTCTTCGTTCTTTTTTATTACTCGGTGCACAGCGACCTAGACATTTATTTGATGATAATTTAGGATTGAGATGCGCCTTGCTACAACATTGATGAGACAAGTAATTACTGATGAATCGATGACGATCCTTCCAAATCAGGAGAGAAGGAATACACCTGACAGATCAGGAGTAGTATTATTTTATGTGAGTAGGTTTCGTCGATCATAGCGGTTGATTGACAGCACAAAACATTGCAGCACCAGAAGTCAACATAAGGGTGCGCAGCAGCCTTTGCATGCAGCTAGCTTGCCTAGCCCTTGGTGAGCGCAGCACGCCGAGTTGATGGCGACCTCCAAGTAGTCATGTCGATGTAAATACACGTCTATCCAGCAGACTGGAGTATCAGGCGATATACGGGGGCTAACGTGTTCTCGTGATCCAGAGCTTCTCGACCATTGGATCCTTGATACAATGGTCAGTGTAGGTTACATGCTTTTACAGAAAACCACCAAGGAATTACACTTTGGTCCACATCTGCCATGCTGATGCTGGCCATTCGATCACATATCCAATGGCCCTGATAGCCCTGGAGCATGGGAGCACGTGACTTCCCGTATCACCACATCCTCATGGATTTTCACACACAGGTACTACTAGCTCGTACTTATTTTTTTTTTCCTTTTTTGGAAAAAGGAGAGGCGCTCAAGGCATAACTAAGGGGCTGTTTGGATTGTGACTATATTTGCCTTATGTTGCTATATTATTTTTGCCACACTTGCCTAACTTGAATTGCTTAAATTGTTAGCCACACTTTGGCTTGCCTAAAGAAATCTTACCACACTTTATGTGTCTATGACATGTGGGGTTCACTGCTTATAAAAAAATTCTTGCCTTATGTGTGGCTAGAACCAAACACCCATCTAATTTGATCAAACTTGCCTAAAATGAGATGTGGTAAAGTGTGGCAATATGTGGCTGGAAACCAAACAGTTCCTACATCTCAAATGTAGCTCAAGTACATGCATGTTACAACATGAATTACAATCGTACGTATACAACACCAAAATGGTTATATGGGCATCTCCAACTATGACTTTTAAATCGGACACCATATCCGTTCATGGACCGGTGGGAACTAGTCCATGAACTTTGATGAGGGAGAGAGCCAAGGTTTAATCATAAAAAAATCTTCATTTGTCCAGTTGAGAGAAGAGGGAAGAGAGAGATCGCATGCATGTGGTTGTTTTTGATGGATATGTGTGTTGTGCAGTTGGAAAGAGAGAGAAGGGAGGAGGACCACATGCTTGCTTTTGTTTTGAAAGATGCAGCATTGTTGGCATTCATTGATAATAGCAGGAAGCAACGGAAAACAACAAGGTGGTGAAGGTCCTAGGACCAAAGGATCTGAAGATCAAAAAACAAAAACAAAAACAGCAGCCCTAGTAGCTACAGCACAACACTCCTTACAAACCACACTAGGCAGCGTAGCTCCGACTCCGATGGTGAAACTACTAAGGAAACTGGGCAGGGGTGGCGTCACGGAGGATCACCGAAGGAACCACCTGTCACGTGTCATCATATACCACCGGTCCCCCACCGCGACTTCAACTTCACATAAGACAGATGGTCGAGGCATGTGATGGCCTGGCTTATTAGGGATGATAGACTACTCATATCAATAAGGAATTCCTTTTTTTTTCGGGAGCCCATTCGGACAGAACTCCAAAGTTAAGCGTGCTCGGCTTGGAGTAGTGTCAGGATGGGTGACCGGCCGGGAAGTTTCTCCCGGGTGCGCACGAGTGAGGATAAAGTGCTTAGAAAAGACTAGTATTGATCTGTGGGGTCAGTCTAGATCCCGCCAGGAGTAACGACTACCGGCGGGTGTGTCCGGGGCGTTACAAGTTGGTATCAGAGCCGACCCTCGCGGTTACATGAATGTTTGCAGACAGGTGCGCGGTCTTGTTGTTCATGACGTTTGTGACCCGTCGTGGCACACGGCATGGTACATGTCCGAACTGGATGCACAGACGTATGTGCCAAGAGAGAACGTTCCTGTTGCCCGACGAGGACGTCGGTTCCTCTGAGTGGGGTTGTATGTGATGGCCTGGCTTATTAGATATGATAGACTACTCATATCAATAAGGAATTCCTTCTTTTCCGGGAGCCCATTCGGACAAAACTCCAAAGTTAAGTGTGCTCAGCTTGGAGTAGTGTCAGGATAGATGACCGACCGGGAAGTTGCTTCCGGATGCGCACGAGTGAGGACAAAGTGCGTAGAAAAGACTAGTATTGATCTGTGGGGCCAGTCTAAATCCCGCCAGGAGTAACGACCACCGGTGGGTGTGTCCGGGGCGTTACAAGGCACTCCCACAGACACGCCGGAGAAGAAGAGCCGACTACCATGACCAAGGCCACGCTTCCGGCATTGTTCACCGCCGTCATCGTTGCCACAGAAGCCACCATGCATGTCCAGTGATAGGAAGGCACCACATGGATCAAAGTCTTCAATACAACGCCCTAAAGAGGGGAACGACGTTCAAGACGACGCCACTGCCCGACCCTGCAACAAGATCTAGGTTTTCACCCGAAGTACTTGATCCGGGAGCTCCGACTGTGAGATTCCCGACGACTGGCGACGCCCACAGGCACCATCGCCGCCGCCCGGCCAGCACCGGCCAGGCTTTTATCCGGGCAGCCACTCCCGCGCAGCAGGCCAAAGTCGACCCTTGCCTCCACTTGATCGCGCATCCCACACACAGCAAGTGCGCCATCGCTGTGCAGGGCCACCATCAAGCCTCCCCAACGACGGGCCTGCAGAGACCAGAACTAGTCCTGCACCCCGCATCCAAACTGCGACCAGAGCCCCTCTGCTCCAGCACCGCATGCGGTCACCACGTGCCATCACGCCCAGATCCGCGCTGACCGTAGTCTTCCCGCCCAGCTCCCCTCCTACGCGCCAGATCCGGGCGTCCCGGAGCCCCACACGCGCCACCCGCGACCAGCAAGCCGTAGATCCGTGCGGGGGCGACCTCCACACGTTGCGCCCCGGATCTGGCTGCCGTGCCATGTCGCATCCACCGCCCGCCGTGCTCCCCTGTAGATGAGCGCCCCCGCGGGCCGCGTCCAGCCGTGCGTCTCCGCGACCCGCCCGCGCCCGACGCCTCCATCGGCGCCAGCTCGCCACGCCCTCCGCGCCTCCGCGAGCCACGTGCGCCCGACGACGCGCCCAGATCCGCGCCTCCACGAGCCACGCGCGCACCCATCGCTGCACGCCTCCGTGAGCTCGCACGCTCCCGCTCGCCTCCGTCAGCTCGCTACGCCGTCTCCAACACCCCCTACAGAACGAGCGCCCCGCACCGCCCGAGCTGCGCAAGAGGGCGAAAACCGGGAGACCCGGTGCCGCGCGGGCTTTCCCGGCGGCGCTTGCCGGCGGCGGTGGGGGAGGAACGCGACGGGGGAGGAGGAGTTCGGGTCGGCTAGGGTTAGCGCCCGTGTCGCCCGCGGGAGGGCGACGCGGGGCAAATTCAGCTCCTTTGTCGATTTGTGATGCATATCTCGCCCAGGGTAGTGGCCTGGCACCACATGCTTGCTTTTTGTTAGTCAAATGGACTCTTGCATAGTTTCCCCAAGTTGCTTCTGGTTT